CTAACATCGATTAGGTTGGTTTCTGAGAATAACGTTTGCAGTATTGTTTTGTTGCAGATTAAATTTTGTCTACGCTGCACTTTCTAAAGCCGTCAAAGCGAGATATCATCTGGAATAATATATTTTGATTTAAAAAAATATCACGAATGCAAACACGCAACCACGATTACCGCGGAGAAAGAGAACAAGGTATGACCAGTTTATTAAATACGCTTCTTTACATTACAAAAATGATAAATCAAAATATCTCATCAAAATTTTTCGAGCGCAATATAATTAAATATAACTTATGGAACAAAAGTATATACTTCGTTCAGGATCAATATTCGTGATGCGTTTGCTTGGTAACCTTCCAACAGAGGTCATCTGTGGTTAACCTGCGCTAATCCTCTCTTCAAACAAATCAATATGTGAAAACTCTCTCAGTAATTGGTATACACATCAGTGAAATTGCTTTCCAATAGACGTTGAAGGTTCTCGCAATAAAATTACTTGTGGGTATTATCAACGGCAACCCTTCGTCTCGATTAATCTTTGACTACGTTTTTATTGCTTACAAGTGCGTGAGTAATATTTAAAGGCGATGATCTAACCCGAATTTCATAATGAAAATGCTTCAATGACTTATATGTTAAAAATACACATACCTTATAGGTATGTGTATTTTTAAACGTTGCGGAATTTTAATTTGTTGCGGAAAGTACATATGTGTATGAAGAAGTTTTACATAGGATATATTAGATGTTATGATACTATTAAGTATTACTATTAAGCTGTTCAAACAAATTACTAAAACGAGAAACGAGACCAATAATGAATTTTATTAAGTATTTATTATAATTTTGGGAGCCGTGATAGCTCAGTGTACGGGCGCTCGCCTTTAATTCATTATACTCGAGCAACATGAGTTCAAATACTTATGCCAGCAGCAATAAAATTGTTAGTTTTAAATGCTGAGCACGTGCTCAGCGGTGAAGGAAAACATCGTGAAGAAAACTACATATGTTCGAAATAATCGTTAAAATATTTTTTTCGCATTGCTTTAAATGCTAAAAAAATGTAGATAAAAGATGTTAAGATTTTCGTCGGTGTGGCCATCAGCCGTTTAGTTTGGTGGCTAAAGCGTCAAGGCGCGAATCGCGAAGACGTGGGTTCGAATCCCACAGCGGCGAAAAATTTTTCGTTCCTTTTTGCACCAATTTTTTATATTTAATCTTAAGTGCAAATTATTAAAAAAATTTAATTTCTTTCCGAGTTAAATGCGTGGCAGCGGTGACTGTAATTTGTATTGAATAGCGGAACACCGCGCTAACGTCCAAACTGCATCCATTTACAATATATCAAGCGACGAGGCTCATCCCACCTCGGCTTGCGGTTATTTGACAAATGAAGCCGTAATGTTGCCAGCTCCATCGTAATTTATTGCGAATTCTTAGCTACTGTGCGAACCCGAAGCGACGGCGAGTCACTTCCGCTTGGCTTACGAAGCTGTGTAAATTGCAAACGCTTAGGATATATCGACCGATGGTTTTCACCTTTTAACTGTTAAACCGTTCAACAAAATTCCACCGCAGAATCATCATTTCTATATCAGCAATAAACTTTTATTAATATTGTACGCAAACGTTCTAGAGTATTTTTACTTACAATTTATTTCATTGCGACCCATAAGGGGTAACCCGAAAAAAGTAAGTAAAGTACTACTGTTAGAAAAAGTTTCACTATTTATTTTTCGCTCTGCGCTCCTATTGCAGATCGGCAGGCTTCTCAATTTGTTTTACTGTTTTTCCGATGTTCGATCAAATTAGCAACTTTATATTGCAACATCATGAGTTTCGGGATCAGAACGAAGTTTTGTGAATTTAAAAGTGAACGTGGTGTCTTGGCGGCCGATGTACGATGATCTCGCATCAAAGTATAGGAGAGATTCGAAAAAAAGCTGTTAGTTACGAGCCAGGTGATGGACTCAACTCAGGCTATACTTTCCTGCCGGTTGGGGAAAGATGGAGTCGTCGGACAGTATCGCATTTTTGTTGTGGTAGCCTTTGTGGCATTTTGGCAGCTTACATTAGCTCGTCTACGGCAGCAGCAGGGCCACACAGAAGACTAGCGTGTAATAAAAATATTTGACTTTTGCGTTTCGTGTAGGGAGTGAGGTAACCAGACACACATTGGTGTTAAAGTGGTCAGAATTGCTAAGTCCTCAGTCCTGCTTATTTCGAACTGCTTATTCCGCTGTCATTTAGGGATTTATATAAAAAAAAGTTGAAGTTCGTCCGAAGCGATGTTGAGTTCGTATTCGGCACAAAATATCCGTTATGACTGAATAAAATTGAACCGAAGACATAACAAATCGCTACGCATATATACGAAATGATCAACGTCTTTAAGAATTGTTACGGTCTTTAATAACTGTTTATTAAAGTCACATTTGGCACGGTTCCTTTTTTCTCTCTTGCGAATCGCGTGGCGGGCATAATCCAAATGAACGCAGATTCTTTAACTTTTTGTTTAAAAAAAAAGTTTGATTGAAACCGCACCAATATCTTAATATTTTTATTCTTAAAAAAGGAAACCTCTTCAATTTCAGCAAATACAACTTATTTTAATCAAATTACTTTTCCTGCAATGTTATAAAATTGGAGAAAATAAAAATCTCGTTTGATATTCGTTAAGTGCTAACTGTAGTTTGTAAGTGCGTAAAGCAAAGTGTAATGGATCAAACCATCAACACGTTACAATATTAATTCGATGTTATTCTTAGCTCGCTTGTTGTAAATAAACAAAAAAACTATCTCCATTGGAGCGAACAATATAAGCATTTCCAAGATTTTACATCGACTGGACAGTCGTGGACACAATTTGTTTCCGAATGGTGATAAAGTGAATAATTTCAATACTTTAACTTGAAAACGAGAAGCGAGGCGAATTTTACATCTTAGCCTTGATCTTTTTGCGGTAAATAGTTGAAAACAAAAGCGTAAACGCAAAAAGTGCGATGAGTAGTTGTTGAGCTCAGGCATTCATACCAGCGCGATGAATGGTGCAGATACGGACAAGGATTTGAGCGGAGTAAATGAAAATCTTAATAAACAACGCCCACGAGACGCGGAAGCTGCCATATTAGCAAGTGATCCCTGGTACAGTGATATTGTTTCTTTTCTCTCACACGTATTTCACGAAATTGCCTATTGTCGCGACAAGACACCCCGATGAGGCTGAAGGCTGTTTTTATATTTATTTTAAACTATCTTTCCGATCGTCATGACTTTGTAATCTGTCACACTCTTTTATTTCTGAATAACAAATAACAACACAACAGAGCAAACGTAGGTAAGGCCATTACTTTGCACTCGTATTGTATTCGATAAGATATTTTGAGCTCGTATGAAATCGAACAAAATAAATATATTTATGTACTTTACTGATGAATGTTATATTTCCAACATAGTTTATATATAACAGGCTTCTGATGCTCAAACTGTATTTCTATCTCAAGCGTTAGGTTAAGTTTATGATGATGCTATTAAGATGACGGAAAATAAATAGATTTGGTCTATGCAGTCTTTGACGCTTGAATCATTGTCACGACATAACCGATACCATGCTTTATCATTGTCTTATTCCGAGCTTAAAGTTGACGGTTTTCAACAGTTATTCGAAGAATGTTCTTCAGTTGCATTATTTAATCGGTCGGCGTAGATGTTCGTACTTACTGTTGCATTTCGTCTTATAATTGTGCTATTGTTCTCTTGTTGTGTTGTAAATATCCGTGGGGGCGATAGTAACTTAAAATCAGTTGATCAAACTCCTTGGAAATTCTTGGAAGTCACTGTTTAAAAAAGTAAAGTATCAGCCTATACATGTCCCACTGCTGGGCAAAGGCCTGCACAGAGGGTATCAGGGCATAGTCCAGGCACGGCCTCACTGTGGATTGGCGGGTTTCACAATCATGTCTTCGAAATATATTTTTTTATTATTATTTTGAAAATATGCAGGTTTCCTCACGATGATTTCCTTCACTGCTGTGCACGTGATAATTCAGCACTTAAAATTAACAATTTCATTGGTGTCGGCACCGGGGATCGAACTCAGGTTGCTCGAGTATATCGTATTAAAGGTGAGCGCCCAGACACTATCTATCACTATCTAACATGAGCTATCACGGCTTTTTGTTTGCGAAGGTTCAAAGGATCATATTAGTGGTAAAACTTCATAATTCTCACTCACAGCTGATGACGAAGGCGAAGGTGCGTCAAAATCTACCGAGCCGATCGATATAAACAACGCATAAAATGTAACGATGCTATTTGTTATATTGTTCAAATACAGATAAGAAAAGCTAATGGGGACTGTAAACAAAGTCATTTTAAATATACGTACATAATACGACTAAAGTGTGACTTTATTTCTGCATATACAGTAACAAAGTCAAGTATGAAAACAACCAAACGTATGTGTAAACTTATTTTAAAGTTGTTCCGCTACTATGTTCAACAATTCTGGCCACCAATCATTCTGAATTCAAAACCGAGGGAAATTCTATGATCAGATTGCATAGTTAGAAATGTTGTTTGAAGCCCTTAAACGGGTCATTATGATGCGCATAATGATTTATATTTTATTTTATTTAGGCAACCACAACACATTGTTTAAACAAAAATTGTAATTCATATGGGACATGCATACTTTTATTTTTTATATCAAAAATTACTCATACTTTGAATGTAATTTATAACAAAGATCTGCAAATTGCACTAGCATATAAAGCATATTGTTATAGCTAACCAAGCAAGCGTTGGTATCTCTAGCGCAGATTAATTAAGTCCACACAGATATTTATTACTATCCTTCTCTGTATCTAGCTTCATAGTTACTTGTTGCGAGACGAGGGTGAACCCGCACATGCGCAGTAACCTTCATTGATTTTTCTCACTTTGACAGTTCGACCGATGTTTTGAGCGACCATCCGCGCTCCGACAACAAAGTAAACAATAATCATGGCCTTAGACTTCTCCGCCACTTACAAATTGTTGGTTTTGGGCGATTCCAATGTCGGAAAGACGTGTATCGTGCACAGATACTGCGACGAGAGATACTACGATATATACATATCCACAATAGGTGAGTGAATTATTTACATTTTGCTTTACGAGCCTTTGTTAGGTGGGTGATGCGGTGTTTGAGTTACCTCCAGCTCATAACGGATCCAGAATTATAGTTTCCACCGCGGAAATATCGCCGGGAACAATAGAGCGTGTGATGTAAAGCCAACATTAAATATTACACCAAACAGTTTTCTTGTGGCGACATAAAACGTTTATTTGCCTGTAAATGCCGTGTGTTTAATTTGAAGTTCCCTTTTTTTATTGCTTTTCTCATTGGAAGTGGTGTTATAAAACACGATTATTTTATAAAATCAAGTGTTATTTACACTATAGCAAGGAATCTTAATAGCTTCACAGGAGACAAAGTAATAGGAAATTATTTTGTAAGTTTACATGTGTGTTCTTGTAAAATCATTGTATTTATTCTAAACAACAAGAAGAAACTAAAGGAAAACGTTGATACTTTAAACATTTTGAATGGCTACAGGTATTGATTTCAAACAAAAGATCATAAATTTGGATGGTGTTCCTATCAAGCTACAAATCTGGGACACCGCTGGCCAGGAGAGGTTCCGGACGCTCACCACGGCCTATTACCGGGGTGCCATGGGGATCATACTTATGTACGACATTACCAACCTGGAGTCTTTCAACCACCTCTCTTACTGGCTAAGAAACATCCAAGAGGTAAGTTTCTTTGAACTTCACGGTACGTCAATTGATAATTTGGTAGCCACTGAAAAGTTTATTACCGCTTTCTAAATAAAGCATAAGTAACCTGACAAAATGAAAGCTGAAATAATATGAATCTAGTTTGTTAAGATCAATATGTTTGTAGTCGATGACTTGATTTTTGTTTATAAAATATCATTTTAACAGCAGAGTGCTTTTATTTACTTTTTATTCCGAAGTTCCAACGAAAAAGAAAACACAGTGCAGCGTAGCCGAGATCAGCTAGTCATTAATAAGAAGTCCTAAGTCGTAACCTATGATGCCAGTTGAAGCTAAGATTACAACTCGCGGCCTGCAACATCCATCATACTAATACTTTGGCCCACGCATCGCTATATATCAACTAAAGATGACAATGAACACGTTTAATAATTTAGCTACTACAATCACCTAGCTCAATAATGTAGAGGTAATCTTGCCATTAAGGCAAGTCTATGTGCAAAATAGTAAATTAGTGTTAATGTAAATATGTGTAAATAAACATGATTTATAAAAACACGATCGATTAACCCAATTCTAAGTTATTTAATTAGTCATTCATGTTTAAATATTTTATTTTTCAGTTTTTAATAACTAACCTCCACAATTCTATCTTTTATTTAGACGTTTGTTGTATTTCGTAATTTTTTCAAATATTTCCCTTTCAGAACAATACCAGCAGCTACTTTAATCGCCACTTTTGCTATTAATTTTGTATAGGTATATTTTATTTTATGGTTTAAAAATAATATTTTTATTGCTTTTAGTATGCATCCCCAGACGTCATCAAAGTATTAGTTGGCAATAAATGCGATGTCCATGACAACCATCGAGCTGTTCCAAAAGAAAGAGGACAAAAGGTACTAATTAAATTTATATAATTGCTCAGTTTTATGTCATATCAACACACGTATAAATATGACATTTTTCGACTTTTTAAGTTATTTAAATAAGAGACACTAACAAACGGTCAGAACTTGTATCCGTTTCTTATAGTGGCCTTTAAATTTACGTAGTAAGTATTTAACATTATTTCTTTTTCTGATTACAGATCGCTGATGATTTCGATATGCCGTTCTTCGAAGTGTCCTGTAAAAGCAATATCAATATAGAGGAAGCTTTTCTGACTTTGGCCCGAAAAATAAGAGAATATCGGGAGACTAAGGTAAGACATAATTATGTACGTTGTATGTAAGTGTAGTAATATAAAAATATAGCTCTAAATATAAGTCTATACTATAGCTAAGCAGTCATTAAGTTGCATAAATTTTAAAAATCTTAAGCTAATTATGTACGAATATAATTTTTACGATTAACAGTTTATTGTAATTATTACAGGCCGATGCATTCGAACTTAAGGAGAGGGATAATGTCATTAAGCCTTCGGATTCCGAAACGGACGTGTCAAAGTGTAGCTGTTAGCCTTAATGCGTTATGTGCCAGCTCATCGCATCCATGCAAATTATAACAGACATGTTGAGGGGCGGTTTAAAATCAGAAATTCGAGCGGTGTAGTAAAAACTATGAGGTGTCAAATTAAATAAAGATCATTTCCATGATTTTAGATTCTCAAGTCATTGACATTGTAATGCTTTACATAAAATTATGACCACCAATATTGGCTAAACTCGAAAGATTACCGTGTAGCGGTAATTTTTAATTGATATACGGTGTGCTTAACCTTGTTAAGTGCAAGTTTTAATTATTTTATGGTAATTTAGAACAAGCATTAGAAAAAATCATAGATGAGTATCCTTTTTTATCACAACAACAAAATGGAAACTGCGTGGGATTTTTTTATAAGTTCTGTTTCGTCTACTTTGGGTCTTTTACGTACTAGCTCCAACCAGCAAATGATATTTTTGTAAACCAATAGTTTTTTTGTAATTATGTCGTTTTTACGTAAACGGTTTGATCTTATCGTTTTTGTAAGTTCGAGCATTATATCCCGCTTTTAGATTGCAAATTCGAGCGGATTACGGCCTATAATACGCGGACTTCCTCCTCTGCGGAAGCTGTCAGTTCACAGCACAGCATTTATTCACTCTAATTCAGCTTAAAAAGAAAACGGGCAAGATCTTGTTTCAATCACCAATTTCCAACAATATTTCCGTTTACCTTAATGTCAACATTAAAATTATGGAAGTGATCTTCATTTTGATGAACAGATGTCATGTATGAATCGTGTTATTTGATATTATTTAATTATATGAGGTAGTTAGGTACCTAGACTGTTGTAAATGTGCTTTGAATAGTTCACAAATTTTGTTAACATCTCAGGTAAAGTTTAGGAAGACGTTGAGTGCCGTTGTATACGGTAAATGTATTACATTGTTTATATCTATAGCAAGCGGTATGAAATATCTGGTCTGATTTGGTGATTTATTATGTCTCAACAGGGTTCAGCGCCAAGTGAAAAAGTGTACCATAGATGTTAACATAAATTGTAATTCACTGCAAGTCACTACAGAACGAGGTATAGTTTCCTTTACATTAAAAAAATGAAACTTAAGCTTTCGAAATAGACTTGATTAGGACTGGAGTAGATTAGATTTAAGAAAAATAAATATGATCATGGAGACAAAGAGACTCGTAACTTTATAATATTTACATTTCACTTGCACAATAGTATTAACTGTCTAGGTTCTCAGGACACTTGCTTTGAAAATAAATTATAGAATTGTCTTTAATCGGATTGTTTTGTAACAAAAACCGAATAAAATTACCTAATTAAATGAGTTATTGTTGTAAGTTGTCTATAAAAGATATCAATTTGTAACTGTATCAATGTTTTAATGGACACGGTGATTGTTAATACACGCTTACAGTATGTTGTACGCTGCTTTGCGTGCATGCTTGCAAATAAATACTGCCTTAGTTAAAGAAAAGACGATTAAAAATTGTCTTCAGGCTCAAAATCATATATGCACTATTTTAGCTGTTGTAAAACTAATACCTAATGATTCTCATACGGACGTTTAAAGCGTAGGACATTTCTTATGCATTTATAAAATTATTGTTTAGAATGTTACATGGGTACGATAAGGACTAGATAAAGCAGTATTGTTTAAATAAAAACGAATTTTCTATTAAATTGTTTCTTACTTTCAAATGAATACTTCATAACTCACATACATACCTCTAAAAAATATAGTTTTTTTTTATGTGAGAAGGTGTCGGGCAAGCTGGCGGTTCGCTTGATGTTAAGTGATAACAGCCACCCACAGACATTTGCAACACCCGTAGGGTTGCATATGCGTTGCCATCTTATAATAAAGTGGGCCCGGGCTACCTCACACACACCAGACGAAACGCAGTATTATGACTGTTCCACTACACGCTTGTCTTCTGTGAGGTATCACGTACTTATCCGGACGGACCTTCCCATTCGTGCAACAGTCAAAGCTGTTGCGTGGCCCTGCTACAGTGACATTAGGTTTTGAAAAATTTACTTGAGCAAGCGGCTATTCGAAGACCATTTTTTATCATAATTTGCATTTTTTCAAAAATAATGTTTCACGATGACTAATTCCTAAGGTGATTAACAAGGGATAACTGCAGGAGAAACAAGATAAGAGGTAATTAAATGATGGAGATCGTAAACAATTTTATATACTCGTACCAGCGAAAACTTTCTTTTTCGAAACATACTAAATTATTGCCATTCAGTACATAATTTTCTAATTTGCAATGTTTTGTAAAACAAACATACATTGAAGATACATAGAAAGATAATATTTGAACATATTTTGTATAAAAAACAGTACAAGTACAGTCTCAATTTCAAGTTTACCATTAAGGAACACACATCACATGAGTAATTAGAGTTTTGAGAGAGACATTTTTGGTCACAACATAGTGCTATAAATAAGTAAATTTTATATTTTTTTATTTGAAAGCATTACTTATACTATGGAAATCATGTTATAGTGTTCAATAATACATTTCTTCTTTTATTAAATCTATAATAATTTATTACATGACTGTTTCTCGCACTAAAAGTCGACAATTAGCACTTAACAATATATTCTTTCATTTGCTCAGCCTAATAGGCCTTAAATAATTATTGACTTAAGATATTATTCATATACTCCACTGGACACATAAATCTGAGTAAAAGCATACACCTTTCCAGTGTAAATATCGCAAGTAGCTTAATAATTAACATTTAATAGAAGACAAAACTAATAGTTTTTGATTAACGCATTAAAATTGTGCCTGCTAATTTATATATAGATGATACCACCTACCAGAGAGTGTAGAACATTTTACAGGCCGCTTTGTTATATTCATCAGCATTTTCGCTATGTTGTCCATGTGATAAAATAATTAAGTTACAATTCATAAACTTATGTAATATTTCATGTCTGATGCTTCATTATCATATTAGAATGTATACAAAAACATAAAAAAACCCTAAATATTAACTTTTATAAAAAAAAAATAAGACACAATTATTATTATATAACTTATTCACAATACTAAATCATGTATTAGAAAAGCTATGTCCCTCTCATATTTGACAGACATTCATCACTTAAGTCTGTATTGCTCAAGCTTATAAATTTAATTTCTTTTGCTTCTTTCTTACTAGATTGATGGAACTGCTTTGTGATGCTTCTCTTTTAATTTCTTGTTTAATTTCTATTGTAGGTATTGTGATTATATCAGATGTTTGTGGTTCTTCTTTTATGGGGTTTTTATTTATATCAGCAGATTTGTGATTCCTGCAAGTGAAAAGAAGTGTACTTAGATAATGTTAAGCACCAATAATTGGATTTTTTCATGTGTATCCTGCTCTCTCACGTGACTTCCTAGTGCAAAGCACCAGCTACACTATAAGTAACTCTTTGAGAAATATTAAGTTATTACATCAAAATGTGTATGCAAAATAATGTTTTGCACATACACTCGAAATCCGCCTACTAAACACTGTTACACTCTCTCTACTACGTTGTTGTTCTATAGCTAATATTGTGCTGTAGTTTATGGTTTGTGAAGATCAATTATTAAGAAAAAGGTTTTTGATTACTATATCAAGTTGAAACACAATATAAAGTTGAAAATACCCAGCACATTCTGGGATATCATCATAGCCATCATTTGTCTGGAAGCCTGTTTGAGTTAACTGCTGAATAAAGACCTCCCCTACAGATTTGCTGATACACGATCCTGAGCCACTTGCATCCATCGACTACCCGCACATTTGCACATGTCATCACTCCATCTAGTAGGTGTTCATCTTACAATGGCCAGTACGAGATTGCCACTCGAGAACTTTTCTTCCCCATTGGTTATCGGTTCTACGAGTTATAATATCTATAAGGCCGGCTCATTGCCACTACAGCTTACTAATCTTCTGAGCTATGTCGGTTATCTTTGTCCTACTGCGGTTATCTTCTTTGCAAACTCTATATTGCAGAGAAATACCGAGAATAGCTCACTCCATAACTTACTCATACGGCCAGCGGTGGAGGACCACGTCTCGGTACTGTAGGTAATGACGGGCAACACACATTGATTGAAGAATTTAGTATTCAAACATTGAGTAATATTTGACGCTAGAACGCTGCCTATCCGAGTTGGAGTCGCCAATTGACCTCTCCCAACAATAACCGGTATAGGCGTGATATGGACATTAGACATGATCTTCGTCTTATCCATGTTCATTTTAGGCCCACTCGTTGGGAAACACTGTTGAGGTCATTGAGCATAGTACCAAGGTCCTCCAGCGATTTTGCCATGTTGATTATGTGGCCGGCAAATCGAAGGTGGGTGATCCCCATTAATGTTAATATTTCGTCATTTCCAATTCAGAAGCTAAAAACGTCTTTGAATGCAGCAGTGAAGAGTTGCGGGGATAGACATTACCCTGTCTTAGACTCTTCTGCAGATGGATAGGTTTAGTACTATTGGACTGTACACAGGCGAACATTGTAGCCTTGTTATACTAACACTTCAGCACCTCAATATACCGACAGAGAATTTGGCACCGCTTAAGGGTCTTTTTTTTTCTAAACATATAACGTATAACAATTAACATAAACAAATAACATAAAAGCAGATCTTACTCCTTGGTATTCTGTATAATCTACCGCATGGTATGATACAAGCCTTTTCGATGCTAGATGCCTCGCTCTCGCAAAAAGAACATAGACGCGGCTAAAAAGGGATATCGGTATATAGCTCTTTAAGAGAGCAATTTTGCATAATAATAATATTGTGAGAAATAAATAGAAATATCGAATGGCAATATTGCAACAGGCTATAAAACGAGCAGCCCTCATCATGTTCGTTCCAGTCAGATAATAGCTACCGATGGAGCCGAGGTCCGGCCCTCTCGGGCACCCTCGAATCGGAATGCTAAACGCGTGTTGAGTGACAGCCCAAGCCGAGGTCCCCTCTCGGGGACCCTTGAGCCTGATCACTCCATGGAGCGCCCGCCAAAGCGCCCTAAGAGCTTGGCGGCCTCCCAAACCGTTAATAATAATAGCGTGACGGCCCGAGCCGAGGCTCCCCCGGGAGCCCTCGAGCTTAGTCACCATAACGCGTAATAATAGTACGCCGAGGTTCAGGCTAGGCGCCTCGTGCGCCAGGCCACCTCAAGTCCGTCGGATCTGTAAAGGCCCCTAAGGCCAACAGTGGCTCCAAAAAAAAAAAAAAATCATGTTCGTTCAGTTTTTCGTCAGTCGTTGTAGCGTGCTGAAGCTATTCAAATTAATAACGATTGTGTCGGTTACTTAGAATTATACTGGTAGATAAGATCTTTTTAAAAAATAAATTATTGTTTCTATTTCTATAACCATACCTCTGGCGTAGCACCATTCTTGAGAACGTGAATAAAGGACTTCTGAAGGAACTTCTTCAAGTTCTGTTCTATGGTTCTCGACTCACTTTTAAGCAGTTCAAGAGCCATTACGTTCTCACTCAGACTGTGTGGGAGTGATATTTTCGTAAAAATATACTCAAATATATTTATTGCTAAAAGATACACAGCTGTCCATAGAACCTCTCAATCTCACTTAAATCTTCTGGTCTAATGGAGATGATAATGTCGCTGTCAGTCTTAGACTATTCAATTGGCTTTGTCTGTTATACTGATATATGCTGAAGCCTGCATTTCAAAGTATAGCGCCCTCAATAGGATCTGTATTGAAGGAGCGTAAGTCTCACATATATTTGGAGATCTGTTTATTAAGCTGCCAGTATGTTTCAAAATCATTTATTCATCGACATAAGAATATATTTATATATATTTCATTTATCATTTTATTAGAATTTCCCAGGGGTTATGTCAGTTAAAGACTGCAGCTGCATCTCACGTCTTCACGTATCTGAATGAATTATTTGGGTTCTGATCATGCTTCGGGTTTTATAAAACTTATTACCGATAGCATGGACACTATCCACAAGTTTAGCATTATTTTGTCTACTGTGGTACAATTTCCAGGCATTGGGATAGGGTCGCTTACGCCGGCAATACATGGTGCCACTACAAATTCATGAAGTGACATAATTTCCAATATCTTGGAATGTCCAAAAAAAATCGAACTTTTCAAAATGTAACATTATATGAGTGAATGATTTATGACTTACACATCACAACTATTTGTTTTTTCTTCTTTTATCTCTAACAGACTCGCAGGAATATCCTTACATATGGCACCATTTTCTTGAATCTTTTTTAAATACTCCTCCTCATTAAAAGTTATTGTCCTCCAGTGCTCTGGAAAATGATACATAAATATTCAAGTTATGTCATGTACACATATTTTGATTATAAAAAGGTTTTTTTTTTCTTATGCAACCAGTTGTCAAGCGAGCAGGCAGCTCACCTGATGTTTAGTGAATACCACCGCCAATGGACATCTGCTACACCCGAGGGTTGCATATGCATTGACAACCTTTTGAAAATTAGGCTCCGGTTACCTCATTCACCAGACGAAACACGAAAGTATTATACTTCCACTTTATGCTGGTCTTCCATAAGGTTGTGGTACTTACCCGGACAAGCCTGCCCATTAGTGCAACAGCCAAGGTTGCTCCATGGCCCTACCACAGTTAGACGTCTAGATAAAACTTTAACTTATGTACATCTATTGATTCATAAATCAATGGATAGCCCTAATTCCGCATGCCTAAATCTGCACACCACATTTTGCTTTCAGAGTCTGGGAGAATAAGGAGTGACAATGCCAATGGTCACATTATTCTACTACTAACCAATCTTTTATAAATAAGTATTGTTATTTTTGCACAATAAAAATTTATTAATTTTTAACTTACTTCTAATCTTAGCACCCTCTTCCTTATATTTTTCTATTTCTTCATCTTTTTCCTTTAATGAATGACGTAACTCTTTTTCAATTGATTGGAGCTCTTTAATAGTTTTTAGAAGTGGCTGTGTTACTTTACGAAAAAACTAGAATAGAAAACTAAAAATTTACAAAATTATTTAAAAGAGATAAAAACTGTTACATTATTTATTCCATAATTATAATATTTTTCACTCAAAGCCAATTGAAATGTACCACTTCATATAAGTTACTAAAATTTCATTAAATTTATGTTAAATATTTATTACTGTACTTCAGTTAACTTTATGTTTCATGATCAATTCAAAAATATAAAAATAAGTAAAAATTAATATTGCCATAATGGATGAATATCCCTAATACTTACAATATCTTTAGAAGCTTCCTTAAGTATTAATTTTAACTTTACAGGAAAGATATATTTTTTGCACATTGTAAGTATTAAACAATTATCATTTTGAATTATATTTAAGTCTTTAAAATTTTCGGCAGTTGATAACATATTGTCGGCCTTTTCAATTAGCTCCTTATCTGTTGTTTCCAATCTTAAATTACTTTCCTTTAAAAAATTAAAACATCAAAAATCAATCAAATTTCAATCAAAGCAAATCATAACAAAATAAATAAAAATGAGAAATACTCCAGTAGTCTGTATCTGACTTTACAAATAAAATCTGGCTAAGTAATACGAAGTATATCAACAGTTCCGCTTAATACAGTCAAAGTAAATACAAAACATAAGTTTCAATGCAATGTTGCAATGTTTTTGATACATTACTACCCCACAAACAATGATTATTTTGAATATTTGACAAGACTTTACCTTTAATACTAAAAGAAATTCACTTTTAGAATAAGTTATTAAATATAAGGTAATGTAGTCTGTTACACATATTTCATAACCACTGTCTTGTGAAAATTGTAAGTAAAACGGTGGATTATCCTGTATTTTTTTCCACATGTTTTGTATACAAGTAATAACAGTAAAATTATATAATATACACAGATATTTCCGTATTAAACATTAATATTACTTTCAAAGAGTACTTTTATATATCTGAAATGATATAAATCTGATTACTCTTTTAACCTTTTTTTTTTTTGACAATAGTATACAATATACAACTGAGTGTCAGTGTCATGTTGACATTGTATGCTATTGAATAGGGATGCCGAAAAAATATCGATATATCTCGATATTTAAAAAAAATTATAGATGTTATTGACCGATATATTTTGATTCGCTACATCGATATAAAAAAATGAATATCGAAATCGTATCAATTAAAAGCTGCAAAGATAAAAATGAATTTAAAAAAAAAAAAAAGCTGTGGTCTATTAATAGTACTGTTGCGGGTGCAGAATTGCATTTTGTACTATAATTATGGTATTTACATTACAACTTCTTCGTACTTTATATGATCCATATCTAAGGTACAACAAGGTAAGGTATCTAAGGTACAGAGAGAGAGGTGTTACAAACCATTAATATTGAACTACATGTTATGCTAATTTATAAATAGCATGTAATGAATTAATGGCATCAACTAAAGTTACTTTAATTTAATATGTAAATAAAGTGAACAAAAATTTATTTATAATCAAATTATATCAAGCTTTTATAAAAAAAATATTTGACGTAATAAATATTATTATCATTTAACCGCATAAATAACTTTTTTAAATTGTCGTTCAACATTTTCATGTCAGTCAAACAACTATTATTAAATTCTGTTGATCTAAGACGTTTCTGAGGGTTTCTTTTTGGCCTTTTATTGACTTCGTTCTAAAAAATTCCTTATGTTTTTTTAAAAAGTTACATGTTTTTTAATTAGTTATTTTTTGATTCGATTCAGGGATAAAGAAACTGATTTATCTTACTAAATAAACTGTTTGTTTTTTTTCCCATTAAGGTCGTGATAAATAATATACAGAGAAATTTTGATTAATAAATGAAATTTGATTCAAAGTAATAAATAATATACATTTTATTAAAATTTCTCATTCGTTTAAATAATGTGAATTTGGTATAAAAATTACTATTACTTATTATTGAATCAGACTGAACTAAATACATTATTTTTTTAAAACCGAGTTATCGGACGAAACGCGAAAGTATAATACTTTTTAATCACGCAGGTCTTCTGCGAGGCTGTGTTACTTCCCTGAACGAGCCTAACCATTCGTGCAACAACTGAAGTTGCTGGGTGGCACTATCACAGTTCCAAATAGATAATTTTTTTCTACATGTTATAACTTGCGCGTTCTTATAAAACGTCAATATTTTACATAAAAATTAATACGTTCTTAAGTATGTTACCACCGTTATGTAAATCAAATTAAAATGAAAGTTACTTCATTTATAGTAGGAAAACCATTTTTTGAAATTTATGTAATTAAATATCCTTTAGAGACAACCAGCTAACATAGAATATTGATATCTTTTTTCCTTATCAATAGATGCACCTAAATGAGAAAGAGAGAGAATGCGATGATTAAAACTTTCAGCAGTCATGAAACTATATTAATATTAATAAGCTTCAAGATCCATATGAAAACATGAAAAACAAATACTGACTCTTTCAAGTCTTTTGTTACTCGTGTAACTATTTTTAAAAAAGATAACGCAATTTGCATATTTGAGGATTATCGATAGCAAGATTTTAGAGGCTGTATAAGAACTGTACCGCCCGAAATGATAATATCTGTATAATTTGAGTAAAACATTTGTCACCCAAAGGCAATATCACTAATAGTACGGTTAAGCTTAAAAGAAATATTGAGCTATCCATCAATCACGAATTATATGGCGCCCTCCCAGTGTCGCTCATTACTTATGTTGATTGACAGCAAAAAGGACATTAAGAACTGAATAATCGCAATTATGTTATCTATACTTTTTAGGTTTGTTTTATTTACTCGTATTTTCGTATTATTCGTATTACTCGTATTTTCATTAAGTGTTTCGTAGCGGACAGCACTTTGTATCAGTCTCACTGCGACAAATAAAAAGAAAGGTTGAAATATTTAGGGCCTCTGATTAAAAATAACGATGTCATCTATGTATTTTTACATTTTATTTATAGCTATGCACTACAAAAGGTGTATCGAGGAGGTAAGGCCTTTCTACAACTCATAATATCACTTCAAAGCATATGATATTAAACTTATGCTTTTAATGAACTGTTTCATTAAGGAATTCTTCTTCCCACTTATTATATTCAAAATCACTAAAAAAATGACACGTAAAATTTTGCGAATATATATATATATATAGCCATCTGTGGCGAAATACCCCCGTAAGAGGGTATTTCGCCTCAGATGTTCTGTGCTCTCGCCTTAATGTTCTGCGCTCTGTACTAATAGGGCTTATCCTTATCTTGTCTGCAACGCCATAGTTGTCCATAGGTGGCAGTAATCACTTCACATCAGTTGAGCCGGCTGCATGCTTGCCACCTTCTCATAAAAAAAGAGAAATAGAAGAATTATTTTAAATCAAAACAGATCAAAATGTTCGAAACTCCTACTGCGATATGTATCAAATGATTCAATATGTATCAAATTTTTCGATGTTTTGTCTCTACTCTCGATAATAAAATATTAATTAATAAGCGGAAAATAAAAAAGAATAATATTCAGTATTATATAAAAGTGGGGTTGCAGAACGGATAGTCATATCGTGTCTGTAAATGACTGTATTATATATTTATACTGAGTGAGTTCTGACGATAATATTTGGTAGTAAATACTAGGAGATTCAAAAGAACCACAAAATTAATGAAAAGCTAAACGATGAAATTATTCGTTAAGTATTAATAATAGTAATTAGTCGTCAAGATGCTTTTAAATAGGCTGGCATCTAAAGAGATCATTTGAGCCTTTGATCGTAGTAGTAACAAGGGCGGATCCAGGGGGGGGGGGGGGGTCATGGGGGTCATGACCCCCCCCTGGGCTGGGTCCAGGACCTAGGTGGACCACTAATTAAAATTGTTAAACATAATATTTTTATATATTTTTTGCCACAATATAGATTTTATGTAAGTACCTTCAATATTAATTTAAATTAATATAATATTTTTAACCGACTTCAAAAGTTGGAGTTTCTCAATTCGATTGGTATATTGTTTTTCGATGTATGTACACCAATTACGTTGAAATTTATGATCCGATTTACGTGATTCTTCTTTATTTTGATGTAGAATAGTTGCCATTTTGCCCCATACAAATTTACCATAGTTTGGCCAAGTAGTTTTCATTTTATGAACATTTTTACAAAATTTTAATGTTTGTCAACAAATCTTGCAAATTAAATTTGATCTATCTACTTCCCGGTTGCCGGTTGAGCTGAAACTTTGTATACATGTGTAAATCGCCAGAAAATCAGAGCCTCATCGCGTTCGGGTACATTTGAATCGTATTGACGAGTAGTTTGTCTTTCACTTAGATAAATAAATGAATAAACAAATAAATAAATTAATTAACCAGTAACCAGGATCTTATGATGGATCTCCATCTTCAGCCGTCCGTGGACATATGCATAGGGTTGCAAATGCGTTTTCTCCTTACAATAAAGTGTGCTCTGGCTACCTCACTCACCAGAAAAAACGCAGAAGTACTTTACGCCGATCTTCTGTGAGGTCTATTCTGTGAGGTTCCTATGATCACTCTGTAATGAAATGACTGAACCCCATCGAGTTTCGGCTTGTTTGATTCGTCTTGGCGAGTACTTAATTTTTAGATGTTACCAGGGTCTGATCTGTTAATGGAGCTGGAACATAGTCATATGTACTCAGTAAACAAACGACGCAACCCTATTGTGTCTCGGCTCGTTTGATTCGTCATGACGAGTTCTTTAGTGCTAGATGGTAACCAGGGTCTGATGACAGAGCTGGAATGTGGCCATAGGAACTCAGTAATTAAGGAACACAACTGCGTCGAGTTTGATTCGTCTTAATGGGTGGACGGTTTTTGACGGGTGGTGAGAGGTGGTGGTTTAGTGGACGTCAGTATGCGACCCCATCTTTGGGAAGTAAAGTTTGTTCGTTCCGTTTGTTATGAATGTGGATTCTGTGATTAGATGGATTAGATGGACGAACGCTGAATATTATGAATGAATGAATGAATGACTGAATAAATATTTTTTTTGTTATTTATGAGCATTTTTTTGAATTGTGGACGATGAAATTTTTAGTGTACGGCTATTTCAGGACTTTTCGTTTGGGTTGATTAGATATTATCATTCACCCTTGTCTCGATAGTCCTGTCTTAGGCTACTTGTCATTGAAGTGGAGTTAGCGTGCGGAGTAGAGGAATTGAAAAATATTACAACCACACAAAAATACGACTACATAAAATCTGGTAACGAAGAAATAAATAAAAAGAAATTTCAAAAATAAGTAAGCCTACCAATACCATACTTATTGCATATTGCAA